TATTTTACCCCAATGCTTTCCTCCTTTCTTTTTTTTTCTTCTTAAAAACATTTATTTTTATTTTAATGTGTATGAGTGTTTTGTCTGCATGTAGGTAAATGCACTCATGTCAGGCAATGCCCACAGTGGCCAGAACAGGGCGATGGATTCACTGGAATTGGAGTTATGCACAGCTGTTAGCCATCATGTGGCTCCAGGAAACTGAATCCAGGTCCTCTGCAAGAGCAGCCAGTGCTCCTAATTGCATAGTCATCTCTCTAGTCCCTTACTCTCCTTTCTTATCAAAATTGGAGTAATCTATAATTATTTGACCTATCAGTGATTTACATTTAAAAGACTACCTTTCCCACAACCTGTATTTAAAAGTCTCCCTTTTCCCCAACCTGAGGGACTAGTTAACTTGGGGACAGTCTTCCTTACTCATGACCTCTTATTTTGTCAGAACTAAACCAGAAAGGGTGTCAGGCTGTCTGCAAATGTGAATTCTACTACCATTGCCATTTTCTTCTTTGAAATTTTAATAAGATTTTCTACTTATAGGAGTTTCCTATTTTAATGTAAATATTTCATGGATGTATTTATCTCAAGCAAAGCTTGGCCTCCAGACTCATCCAGCTTTATGCATCACATAGGCATAATATTTTTCTTTCAATCATACCTTAAGAGTACTTTAAAATAAAGAAATGTGGGGGTGGAGAGACGACTCAGTGGTTAAGAGCACTTGCTGTTCTTCTAGAGGACCAGGGTTCTGTTCCCAGCTGACAACTGTCTGTAACTCCAGTTCCAGGGGCTCCAGTGCCATCTTCTGGCATCCATGGGCATTGCATGCAGGCAAAACACTGATACACATAAAAATAAAATAAATGATATAAAACAAAACATGAAATAAAATAAAGATGTGACTATTCTTCCAGTTTCCCAAAACTTAGAGAGATTTCAAAATTTACTTTCTTCTTTGTGAACAACTTGTTTTGTTTTGTTTTGTTTGAGACAGGGTATCCCTGAAGCCCCAACTGGTCTGGAACTTGCTATGTAAACCAGACTAGGCTTGATCTCAGAGAGGTTCACCTGCTTCTGCCTCCTAAGTGCTGGGATTAAAGGTGCGAGCTACCATGCCTGTGAGCACTTCTTAAAGTGAAAAGATTACAAAAGATTTCCCACAGAGGATTTGAAGGCATTAAATGTCACTTCACATGAGAAATATCTAAATTATCAAACTTTCAGGAAATGAGTATCTAAAAAGAAACCCTGACCCATATCTTTATAAAACACATTTGGTACCAAATAAATATCTAACACTATGCACTTTATTTCATTTCTAGTTTAAATTTTTTTTTGTTATTGTTGCATGTGTATGTAATGGCAGGGATGTGGGGGTGGGAGTGTGTCACAGCACTCATGTGAAGGTCAGAGTGGAGTTGGTTCTCTCCTTCTACCCTTATAGTAGGTTTCCAGGGATTGAACTCAAGTCATCAGGCTTGAGTGGCAAGTGCTTTATCCACTGAGCTATCCCACTGGCCCCAACACTGTGTGTCTTTTACACTTCTTTACAGTGGTACCTCTGAGCTGTTTGCCACATGTGCCAAGAAAGACATCAGGGTGTGGCATACAATGTCCAACCGGGAGCTATTGCGAATCACTGTGCCCAACATGACCTGCCATGGCATCGACTTCATGAGAGATGGCAAGAGCATCATTTCAGGTAACAGGAGCTGGGTGTGGTGATGTACTTGTAATTCCAGCACTTGGGAGGTGGTAACAGGAGGATTAGGAGCTCAAGGCCATCTCTGGCTATATAGTGAGTTCTGGAGGCCAGCCTGGGCTACAGGAGACCCTGCCTCAAAACAGCAACCACAACAAAATCAGGTAACAGCTCCATTGGAGGTTTGGTTCCAGGCTCTGGCTGTGGTTTCAACCTTTGTCACTCTCATTTCCCACTAGCGTCTGCATGTGGAATCAGCTGGGATAGCCCTCAGCTGCCTACCCTCCATGCTTGGGATTGAGCCTCTGTTCTGTGTTCCTTTCCCCCTAGGAGAGTTTTCTGAGCTGGGAAGAACCACATTTCTCAAACTGCTTTGTGTACCAGGGATTTCTTTTTCAAGTAGGAAAATTCAATCATTTGATTCTGAACTGGACTAGAGGCTTAGTGTGTATAAGCCCTTGTGTTAGAATCCTCTCTCTCTCTCT